CAATTCTTAATCATGTATATTACATAGATATATACATAAAATCTAATCGTTATTAAACACTCTTGTTTATTTATAGTTTAGTTAATCATAAAATTTAAATATATAAATACAAATAATGATTCTACAATATCAAATTCACACGATTTAACCCTAATATAACATGTATTTTGAATTATTTGTTGCTGATTCTCACTTTACAAATAAGAAAGAAAGTAAACTCAATTCATAAAATCCTTCCAACCCAACTTGCCGTAGAATGGTTTGGGTGCCTTGTTTGTACATTTTTTTAAGGAAAACTAATGAAAAGAGCTTGAAAACTTTGAGTTTTAACGATAAGAACAAAAAAAAGGGTAAAGTGAATACTACTAGGTTTGACTTTTTAGTGTAAAAATGTGGTTTTTCGTTAAAGTGAACAGTACCATGGATTTTTCGTGAAAACTCTTTTTTTTTTTTTGGAAATTAGTTTCAAAATGTCAACCCACCCAATGCCCACCCCTACCATTGGAGATTAGCCTCTTCGTGAATTTTGTCATATAATTTAATATAAACTATTGGGAATTCGAATTTGTGCATAAGATGACACAATATCCTAACCAACTTGAATACGTGTTATTTACATTTTCTTTCCTTTTTTAAACTTTGCTAGCAAGCAAGTGATAAATAATTAAATTCTTTGCTTTGGTTACATCGTGATTCTTCATGAAATGTTCAAACAAACCGTGCGAATGTTTTCTGTGAGCTTATAAATTACGTGCACTTTTTAGGTTTAAACTTTAGAAATGGGGCTATTAATTGGGCCTTGGGCTAGGCCCAACTTGAAAATAAACCAGAGGTCCAGAAGTCTACCCCACAGGGGACACACACACGCCATGACAAAAAATGGCAATCGAATGGAATACGACACGGCCTTCCCATTTCTTTATTCTCTCTCCTTTTCTTCCCAAAAAATAAACAATACAATTTCTTCAAGTTCACAGAGGAGACAGAGAGAGAGAGAGAGAGAGAGAGAGAGAGATGGTGCGGATAATTCCCATGGCGTCTTCAATCAGACCCTCGCTATCCACGCTGAGGTTCGCCGGAGCTTCTCGCCTGGGCTTTCCCTTCCCTTCCTTCACTCCTTCCCGGCGACTCGCTTGCTTCCAACTCGCTAGTGGTAAATATATTTACAAATTCTCCGCCTTTCGCTGCTTACCCTTTTGTGTTAAACCCTGAATTTGCTATCCTTTTCGCTGAGTTCCTCTATTTTCGGTTGAATTGGGGTTTTGGGATGTTAATTTTGTTGTATGTATGCACCATTTGATTTGATTTGATTTGATTAGTGTGGAAGTAATCGATTGGAAATTTTGATTGGTGTGGAAGTAATCGATTGGGAATTTTATATAAAGTTTAGAATTTAATTGTTGGGATTGTATTTGTTGTTCACAGCCAAGTTACGGCATTGACAATGTGATTGGATTTGTGAATTGATAAGGTTTTGTGATCATTTCGACCTGCTTGATGATTTTGAGTTCTATACCAGCTGTGCCACAGTCGCCGTCTTTCGGTCTGAAAGCTTCTAAACTGTTGAGAGGAGATGGTAAAACCGCGGGGGTGGCTGCTGCTGGAAATGCCGCGCAAGCTAGCACAACAGCTTCCCCTGAAAATGTCCTAGAGTGGGTCAAACAGGACAAGCGGAGGATGCTCCATGTTGTTTACCGCGTTGGAGATTTGGACAGGACCATAAAGTATGTCCGCTCAATGCAACTTAAACTATCCTTTTGATTTCATATATAATGCCCTGTTTTCTTATGATTATAATGAAACAACGCAGAATTCAAACATAGAGTTGTGTTGTGCCTTGCAGATTCTACACAGAATGCTTAGGAATGAAATTGTTGCGAAAGCGTGACATACCCGAGGAAAGATACACCAATGCTTTCCTTGGGTACGGGCCAGAGGATTCCCACTTTGTTATTGAACTCACTTACAGTACGGCATCCAACTAGTTTTCATATTTTCCAAAATCTGAAGCATTACCTGTTTTGAACTACTTCCATAAGCACTTGTCCTGCGAATTAAAATTCATGATTGATGTTCATTTCATTTAATGGCACTTCCAGATTATGGAGTTGACAAGTATGATATTGGAACTGCATTTGGTCATTTTGGTATTGCCGTTGAGGATGTAAGCCACTATTTTTTTGTTAAATTTTGTTCTCTAAGCATGCAGGATGCAGATTTTTTTTTAATGCAATTTAGTACTATCCTGCTGTTACTACTCTCTAGACTGTTGGGGATTTTCTGTTCTTAAAGGACATCTATGTATGTTCTTGTGGTTAGGTTGCCAAGACTGTGGAGCTCATAAAAGCTAAGGGTGGCAAGGTAACTCGTGAACCTGGTCCGGTCAAAGGGGGAAAAACAGTAATTGCATTTATTGAAGATCCAGATGGTTATAAGTTCGAACTATTGGAAAGAGGGCCTACCCCTGAGCCCTTGTGTCAAGTTATGCTTCGTGTGGGCAATCTTGATCGATCCATAACTTTTTATGAAAAGGTAAAGGTTGTTTTGGACAGAAATATGCTGTTGGCCTTTCATGTTTTTACCCACTGCTTATTTGTTTTGGAACTCATTTACTTTTGGTTCTCAATCCTTAATTCCTTTCCACTCACTAGGCTTTTGGCATGGAGCTCCTTCGCAAAAGAGATAATCCGGAATACAAGGTAATTTTGCATTTTGTCTACACCAATAGCCTTTTATATTTGTACACTGAATTATTGGAGATGATTGGTCATTTTGATGCCTCTTTTACCCCCAAAGATGGAATAAGTATGATGAGATAGTAACATGAGACTCTAGATTGAAGCATGATTACAAAAGAACATAGTCGCCATGCCTTACCAATAGTTTTAGAGCTTTGTGCTTTTCATCATGTCACAGTGGTCATTACTTGCAGGAATAGTGTATAGAGTGTTTCTACCTGAATGACATAACCTTTTGCTTGTTGTTCCCGTACCTATTACATCTAGTAGTACTCTAGTAACGCAAAAATGCCTTTTCTCTTCTAGTGCACTATACGTTATTGACATAATTGTGCTCATTACTTCTAGTATACTATAGCAATGATGGGTTATGGCCCCGAAGACAAAAGTGCTGTTCTGGAGTTGACATACAATTACGGGGTCACCGAATATGACAAGGGAAATGCTTATGCTCAGGTAGAACCCGTACCTCTCCCCACCTTCTCTTCTTTTGATAGCATTCCCTCTGTCCATTGCAAAATGGTTTTCTTATTCATGCATGCATAATTTCCTGTGGTTCGTCATCTTATTGTAATAATACCACATGAAAAATGATATATTTTCTTGCCAACATTTTTTCGGACTAATTTTGAAGAATGGTTTCTTTTTGTCTCTCAACAGATAGCAATAGGCACAGATGATGTCTATAAAACTGCTGAAGCAGTTAAACTCTCTGGGGGCAAGATTACTCGGGAGCCTGGGCCATTACCTGGTCTAAACACAAAGATCACTGCTTGCTTGGACCCTGACGGATGGAAATCGGTATGGCTCATTCCTTTATGCTTTACTCATTTATGTACCTACCCTGACGGCTGAAAGTTGTTTGGTGGCTCATTGCCCCATGATTACAAGGTCTCACTCCTCATTTTTGTTTTGCAGGTTTTTGTGGATAACGTTGATTTCCTCAAGGAATTGGAGTGAGTTATGGGAGGCTTACACGTACCCAAGCTTGTGATATTGAGACTGAAATCTCGGGCCAAGATGATTCTATGAAGCTGTTCTCTTGAACGAATGCATTAAATCCCCGTTTTGTAGATAAAATTATAATTAGCTTTGAATAATCATTGTAACAAATATTTATCTCACGATAGCGTCGCAGTCATTGTAAGAAAAAGGAAAAACAACAATTAGTTTTGCAGTGTTATTGTTAGTTCGAGATGTTATTATTATTTTTTGGTGATTCATCTGCCACTGTTTTTGTGGGAAGTTCTCTCTCAAGATTTCTGGTACTCATCCTCTTGCTTCTGGCTCGCCGGAGACCTTTCCAGGGTTTAGCCGTCTGCGGTTGGGCATATTTACAGGGAGATGAATATGGTTGTGTATGGTATGGTCGCCTTCGGGGATTCGATGAGAAGTGAGAAGTGATAACCCTGAGCCCTAATTTTGTTTAATCTGGGTTGGTGAGAAGTGAGCAGGGCGTGTACTTCTTTTGGTGAGAAAGTAATTTGTTTCAATCGTGGCATGAAGTCGCTTGTTTTGTCATAATATTTCTTCAATCACCATTGGACCTAATTATTTCCTTGTAGTTGCCAAATAACACTTTTTTTTTTTTTTGAGTTGGAGTTTGAGGTACAAAAAAAAGACAATGAGTTGGGGTTCGACGAATTTAGAACTTCTCTGGACTTTGGAAATTCGGATCCTTAGTTTGTGTGAAAGATAAATTGGAGTTATTGGTTTGTGTAAGGTGGTCTAGCGGAATGAATTAATGGGAACCATCAAATATAATTTGAGTGGTCTGGATTGTCTGGTCCTTGAGCTCCTTGAGCTCTAGACAGTGAGATTCAAAGAGAATATTTGTCACGAATTCAATCACGTCATTTGTAAGACATTTATACAACCCCTATTTTGATTTTATCAGCCTCACGCCAATCCAACTTGTCATGACACATAAATAAGAAAAGTAGAAAATACCACGTAAATAAGAAAAGTAGAAAATACCAAAAGTAAAAATCAAAATTAGTGTTGGTGTTTTTTTTTCTCCTTCTAGTACATCAATATATTTACATTAAGAGGAAGGAGAATTTAGCTAAACCACACAATGTACAACCTATTTGGTATCGAATTCACCATACACAAGATTATAATATAAGATTTCTCACTTTCAAATGAACAAAATTATTCTTAAATTACCGTTATTATTTTCCGGTTCTTTCACGTTACTTTCCCGTTTCCTAAATAAAATATTGAAAATTAAACAAGGTGTTCAAATAAAACCCTAAACAATCATATAAAAGCAATTAGATTCTTCATTCGCTCTCTCTTCCCTTGGCCCTAAGAAGCTCTGAAAGACTGCAATTTTATTGAGCTTCTGGTACGAAATTCCGTTTTCGGCCATGTCCAGCTCACGGAAAGGGAAGGAGGGCGCAGAGGAAGGCGAACAGCAACATGGGCAGATCAGTAATAAGAAACGCAAAGAGATTTTCCCCTACGGAAACTACAAAAGTTACTACGGCTATCGGGTAATTAAAATCTCCTCCATTCCCCACAATTTTAACTTTTGAATGTTGTTATTGCTCTAATTGGTTGTCAGGGAAAGCTAAAACAAGTGAAAAAAAACAACTGAAGATTCGATTTTTTTTTTTTTTTTGGTTGGGAGTTTCTCGGTTTTTTGTTTATTTGGTTGTTTGAAGTAAATATTGAAGTGGGGTTTGTGTTTGATTGAGTTTAAGGGTACCCAATCAGGTGTTTTGTCAAATTTGATTGAAATTATGGTATTTTTTCGTTTGAAGTTTCTGGGGAATTGGTGTTCTTGGGTTTTGAACGCAGTGCATTTGTGAAGCTCTTGAGTGGTTGGATTGGTTTTATGGATACTGTTAGGATTTATTTCGAAAAATAGCGTAAGCTAAACTTCACCCATGATTCATTGTGGCCCAATTTTAAGTATTTGGGAGAGTTTAACTTAAAAAAATTAACGGACAAGTTAAAATTTTGGGCATTGCATTGGTCTGTAATTATTTAAACATCTTGAAACTCGTTCTGTTGATAACAATGTGGAATCTCATTGCCTTGTATGGTGTTTTAGATTGGCCAAGAAATGGAGGAAGATGCTAGGTTGAAGGTTTTCAAGAAGGAATGGTTCGAAGGAAAGGATTGTCTTGACATTGGCTGCAATTCTGGAATCATGACCATTCAAATTGGTACTTTTCTCTCAATTAAAATCATAATTGAAATTTATTTATGAGTTTGTTGATTATACTGTATTGTTTCTATTCATCTTTCCTAAACAAATGGTATTATTAAATCTTATATGGATAGAACTTGATAGTCTGAGTCGGGGAAAAATGTAGTGAATTTCTTGGTTTTGTCAAGTTTAGGGTGTTTTATAGTCGCTGGTTGAGATGCTTTCTTTATGTATGTGGCTCTTGAATGTGTTTGTTCTCGCAGTGACATAGTCATCTTTATGTGCTTATCTACAGCCAAAAAGTTTTGCTGCCAGAGCATTCTTGGTGTTGACATCGACGCCAGTAAGATTCTAATCATATCTCAGATTCTTATCGTCTCACTGAAGTTCAAAGAAGTTCAAATTTTTTTACGTTGTTCTCTAAATGTAGTCAGCATTTTATGTCAAATCTATTATGTTTCATAAGCTCTTGTTTGCATGGGATCTAGGATGCATAATTCTGTTATTATCTGAATGCAAACCATCACACTCTCACACATGCCTGCATGCACCATACACACACACACACATGTGCATGAACATCCACAAATTTGTAAATGTATTCTATTCATTATACATATCTCTACAAGCTCTTCTTAGTTTACTAGTGCAATATTCCCTTGATGCTAAATTTGTGTTCGACTATGCAGTAGCGTGTATTGTGGGTGCCTGCCACCTTGATCTTGAACTTGAAGGACATGGTTCAATGATGCGTCTTTATATGTGACATGACATCTGGCATAGTTTGACCTCATATTTTGTAAAGACCTCATAAGATACCCATTTAAAAAAGAATGAAAACTTCACTGGGTTGGGATGCAGTTTGGCGTCCTGCTTTGTGTGTGATCAGACAGATTTAACACTAGTTTTTATCTAATTAGCCCATATCCTAGTCAATTCTGCAACTTTCTTTGTAGTTAATTAATGCAATTTTGTTTTCTTTCAGATCGAATTCAGGATGCATACTGGCACGCCAGAAAATTTTTGAGAATGGAGAATGCTAGAAAGACACTCGGAAAGGCTTCTAAATTGGAGGGTGCAAGTGGCTTTTCTGAGGAGAAAGATCTGCTTGACACAGTATCTTTCCGAAAAGAAGATTTTGTTAACAGTCGGGATCCACACAAGAATCATTATGATACCATTATATGGTGAGCTTCGCCGCATCTTTTTCTCATTTATTCTAATATATTATGATTTCAGTCCTATTAAGGATATCAGTAATACATGCAAACTTGCTATGATATGTGTAGGCCATAAACTATATACATAAGAAAATAAAATTTATGGTTATGCTCATTAATATGACTAAAACTGCTCATCAAAATTTGTGACTAAAACTTTTGGGTAAACAGGTTTACCAAATATAACGTAGATCATCAAAGAAGTCGAAACTGGGTATGTCTATCCATAGGCCATCAAAGAGTAGTACTCTAAGGACAAGTACCTATCATGAGACAACCAGTGGAATCCGCACTGGCCCAACAAATATCTAGAAAAAGCCATTATAGTTACCCTGGTTTTTGTGTTTATGCCTGTAACATTGAGCTCTAGTGAATGTGATTCCCATATCTGATAGCTCACATTAGCATTGGGTTTCTATCTGTTTATTTTATGCAGAAATTGCATCTTGATGCGTGCTTTTTTATATGCAGTTACATCCTCTCATTTGCAAGTACAAGCGTCACATTACTTATTGTGTTGCTTTGTTGTTAAATTTGTTTTTCTCCTCTAATACAGTTTGAGCGTGTCAAAATGGATTCATCTGAATTGGGGTGACGATGGATTGATTACATTATTTACAAGGGTTTGGAGTCTACTTCGCCGGGTAATTCTTATAACCATTGCTATTCCATCCTCATTTCATTTCATTATTCTTTTCTCGCCTACTGTCAACTAAGCAAGGAATTTTAGTTCAAAATAATCTTGATTTATAACTTTCGATATCTTGGGGAAAAGTATGACGAATTTTTCTTCTTGTGAGCAGGGTGGAATTTTTGTGTTGGAACCTCAACCTTGGAAGTCCTACGAAAAGAATTATAGAGTTTCTGAGGTGATTGTTTTTCTTTTCAACATTTCTGAGATTGTACCTAGTTAGTCACTACTAAATCAATTACGAGTCAGAGACTTTTCTACATTGGTTATGTTTCTGTTTTAAGTTTCATTGCTTAACTGGAATTGGGTCTAGAGAATTATTTGTTCCATTCTGCAGACAACTAGAGAAAATTATAGAAATCTTATGTTCTATCCGAAAGATTTTCAAGACTTACTTCTGGATAAGGTATGTTTAATCTTCTTAAAGTTCGACTTCAGATGACAGTTTTGCTGGCTATCGGTTGAGATCGGTTGAGATCTGGAAATATCTGATATCTAACATGATTACAGATAGGATTCAGAAAAGTGGAGGACATCACTTCAAGCGTGTCGGGCAGCAAAACCGGATTCAACAGACCAATTTTAGTGTTCCACAAATGAGTAATGCAGTTCCGGGAGCAGGATTGTTTGTTTCGTCTGAAAAGCCGTAGTTTATGTACCAATTTTGACTGTGGTTTTTGTGTGCACGTGCTGCACAAGTTTTTGTTTGGGTTAAGGTAATATTCATACGACCAAATGGATGGAACATGTCCTGTCCCAATTTTGTATCTGCTCCTAGTATTTTGTACATACATTATAATGTGTAAGTGCTCACCAATTTTGAAGAATATTTTGTAGAATCCGATTGAATGGACAATTCTAGAAGTTTGTAGAATCCGATTGAGTGGTACAATTTTGAAGAATATTTTGTACTCTTGGTCCATGAATGGTATAATTCTAGAAGTTTATAAAATCCGATTGAATTTTAATTAGGGAATATTTTCTCGTCTCTTCATGATTTTGCCGTTGTAGTATAGAGACGATTGAAAGTTGACCAAATTGTTGAATCTGATCACTATAATGTTGCTTGCTGAAAAGCGCAACAATGCGATTGGCTTCTTGTGTATTTTTAGGGTGCAATTGGTGATTTAATTGGCAATTAATGGATTAATTAGGTAATAAATCCATTAATTTGCTAATTAACATAATTTAAAATGAATGTTTTGAAAGTTATGGAATAATTACATTGTGGAGAATATAGGATGAGGATGGATGAAATAATTTTGAATTTGTTATCTATTTTGGACATCTTTAACTTGGTTGAGAGATGATTGCCCACTGCTCACGCGTAAGAATCCCGGTATACCGGTATTTTTTTCCTCTTTTATCCAAAATCCACGTGTTGCCTCTCGATTATTTTTGCTCCACAGTATCCCTAAACTAAAAATCTTGTTAACGTGTACGATTTCTTAGTGAACATGGGAGATTGATTTTGCCCCACCTAATTGATCTTAAGAAGTCAGCCCTCAATAAGTTTTGAGCACCTAAAGAGAGTTAGAGACTGAGGATCAAACAATTCATTTTCCCTCTTATGAATATTTAATTAGCTTAGTTATTATGTACTTAAGCAGTCACGTTGAAGATTAAGTACGACGATCATATCATATTTCTTTTCACTTGTAAGTGAGATGTCTTAAGTTTGAATCTCATACTTGCAAGTGAGAACTATGTACAACATAGAATCCAAGCTTTGGGTTTTTTGTATCTTGTAACCAACACATTTTTAGTCACCATATGGAAAAACACTTGCACAAACCAAGGAACTAACTCGATGTTTCCGGAGATGCGTCCTCAAGATCTTCCTGCATAGATACATTGCATATTTGACAATTTAATCGCCGTACATCAGCAGCTTCGAAGATGTGCTAGAATCTTACAGAACAAACCTGTTGCTAAAACACAACGGAGAGCACCCGGTCAACAATAATGCTTAAGACGATAGACGCGAGCATTAGCTGCAATTACAAAAGCCGCCAACCAAATGATGACTCAAGTACGAACCAATTGAATTACCATAAAGGTCACTTGGCTGAAGAGATGCGCTGGAGTGATTGAATCCAGCTACTCGAAGGACCTACTTTGTTGCCATGTCTATGGCCAGTGTTTGTAGCTTCAGCGGGCATACGAGGTTTTGTGGGGTCCCTTCTTGAGGCGCCGGAAAATGAAGTAGACGGAGGAGGGTATGCTTCATTCGCAATCTAAAAAGGGAAATTTTTATCCATGAGTTATATATCGGAACTGAATTTTGAACAATGTAACGGAGTAATGATAAATTCCATTTTATCTCAGTTTTTATTTGACAGTAATATGACTTACGTTCTTTTCAAGAGGATTGCCATAACTTAAATTCCTGCCCGTTGTTGGAGACTTAAATTGCATGCGGACACCAGAACCAGTGGGATTGCTTGATCTAATTCGATCTGTGACCTCAGCTGGGTATGGAGCACTAGCACCTCCTGCCACTGACAATTAACAAGGAAAATGTAATTTATTATAACCAACTGATATTGTATAGTTACATTAACCTCATATCTCCCATATATTGTGACGAGCAGTCAGTTATTAAGATATGCAAAAGTCTATATGGAAGATCTAACCTTGATGACTATCTACACGCACTGGCATTGCATGACTGTTGCTTCCTCCAGGAACCGGCTGAACATGTGGAGTTTCAAATTAGAAGCGCAGCAGTAACCCAATGTTCAAAGAGTCATACAACTAAAAAAATTTGAAAAGACTGAACAGCAATTGCACTTACAGAACCAGTCTTTTGTGACTGCTGGTACTTTATGATGGTCCAATCAAATACGTAATCAAATTCATATCCTGCCATTTGGAGACAAACATCCAGATTATTGAATCCACGTCAAAATAAAGCTCTAAAATGCTCAGAGAAGCATATGATATACATAGTTCATACATAACATACTTTATCATATGGGAATTTTAGGTAAATGGGAGATCAAACATATGTAAGCACATTGACTTCAAGCTAAGAGGGCCTATGCAATGTGAAGAACTTATTTAGAACAGATGAAAGCACAAGAAAGTTTGAACACCACTACCTTCACGAGAAAACAAATCACGGAATAGGCGTTTCAAGAATCCGTAATCAGGTCGCTGATCAAATGTCAGTGAATGGCAGTAATGGAAATACGACGCGAACTCCACCGGGTGAGATTTGCATAGAACCTTTAGAAGACAGCAGTCAGACCAGTTGACACCAGATACAAATTTCAAAGTGCACATAGTACTTGACACACACCTCAATAGGGGTTGATAACTTCTTCTCACAAATTTTGTCATATTTCTGCTTTTTTGTGTCAGCTTTTAAACCCTGCCACGGAAGGCTATAAGCAGGAAAAAGAAAATCGTCAGGGGACAAGGCGGAAGAAACATAAGATGGCATGAACAATATATTATCGGGTCCTTTCCTACTGTATAAGTTTTTCAATTCCTTTCTACATATTAAAAGTAAAAAATGGGTGGAAACAGACTATGTACCTTCCTCTGAGAAAATACAGAAGAACATATCCAAGAGACTCCAAATCATCCCGCCGACTTTGCTCTAAGAACAAAACAATAAATAAGGTTAATGAGTATTTATGCCAACAGATTACAAGGTTTTAACACCGAGTAGCTTACCAATTCCAAGATGAGTATTGCAGCTTGCATAACGTGCAGTTCCTGTTAAGTTCTTATTCTCCCTGTATGAGGCAAGTGTTAACAATAGGAATATAAACCAATACAAAACTAATAAGGTTGCATTTCATATTTCAATTGTTCCTCGAGCGTTTCAGCACACAGAAAAGAAAATGAGAGATTGTCTTGATACGAAACTGGAAATACCTGTATGGGATGTGACGATTTGTTGTCGCGTCTCGATATCTTTTTGCAAGACCAAAGTCAATTATGTAAACCTAATAAGATAAATGAAAAGAAGAGATTGATGACAATAGAAACTTGAAATACATCTTAAATGAAAAAAAAAAAAAAAAAAAAAAAAAAAAAAAAAAAACAGACAGAGAAGATGCATCACCTGATTTGCTTTTCGACCAAGACCCATGAGGAAATTATCAGGTTTTATGTCTCTGTGTAGAAAACCTTTCGAGTGCGCAAACTCTATCCTCGTAATCTTGAATTAAAAGAATCAAAAGAAAGAAATAATTGTCAATTGATACGAGCACACATAAACATCGTATCATTCAGTGATACGAAGAACACAAATTACAAAAGTGAAAACAACTTTCATCACGAAAAATTGTAACTTTCAAAAGGAAAATAAGCTGAAAATAGTAAGGTGGGAAAGCAGGTTAATGATATGCCAACGAATGTAACGCGTGAGCTGCGCTGCGTAAGCTCTACTTAAAATCCGTCACAATGTATTACCATTTGATCGGCTAGCATTAAGACAGTCTTGAGTGAAAACTTTCTCCCACAATACACAAACAAATCCTCAAGACTCGGTCCCAGCAAATCGAGAACCAGCACATTGTCCTCGCCGTTAATTCCCGACCATTTTATGTTCGGAATACCGCCTAAACATTTACACACACACTCAATTAATCAAACAGTGATGCTCACAGAACACTAAACCAACATGTACCAAGAAAAAGTATACGTATTCGAATACGTATACACCACGTACTTCCTCCTTGAAGGATTTTGTATAATTTCGCCTCGTAAAGCAGCTGCGGATGCTTCGTTTTACCGTTCTCCTGCATTTACCAGAAATTAAAATAAACTTAATCACTTAAATTAACCAGTAATTAAACTAAAAACATGCGTCTTCACTAATTAAGCAGTTAAAAACTTCAAATTTGCTGACAATTGGATTGCATAAACATAAATTTAATTTAAAAAAAAAAGAATTAATTTCTACTGAAAATTGAATAAACAAACAGAGAGAGGTAATAAGGAGCTTACAATCTTAACGGCGACGATCTCGAACGTATCGGTGTGAGTAGCTGCAGACGAAATTCAAATAATTTACAGAGATCAGCCACTGTTACTACGATCAACGACTCAGATTCAAACCACAGCACTCACCTAGGAAGATTTCGCCGAACGATCCGCTGCCGATCTTGCGGCCGAGCTTGTACTTTCCGCCGATGACCCGCTCCATGCCCGAGTTCCCCGGATCGGATCACTCAACTCATAGAACTCAGGATTTTGGATCCGAATCGAAAACCCGAGAAATCGAGAAAACCTGAAAATTAATTTTCGAAAAATGGATTTTTATACGTTGGAACTGAGAAACTGAAGCCACACACAGGCGAAGGCCCGGCCAGCAAGAGACAGATAGGTTCAGTCGTGGGGAGGATAAAGGGCGAATGTAGAAGGGTAGTTTCGGAACTTTGAATTGTGGAGCCGTTGACTTGTTGACTTCGTAGAGATTTATGTCGTAGAGGATGAGAGTTCCGGGGATTTGGTTTTTTGATTAAGGGTATTCTTGTCAACTCGTTGCTTTACCGCCAAATGCGTCGGTGTCAGTTCGGTAAATAACGTGGTGGATGGCGGGTAAATGTGGTAGTGCGGCCACGTGATTCCCGCGCAGGTTTTGTTCCTCTGCTAGCGTTTAGTATGCTTTTGAAATGCGCGCGCTTTTCGGATGTGCCTTTTCTTGCCGGTTTGGGGCTTTCTTGTGGTAGAAGCGTGGGTTTATGGGAGAAACACAGAAACCGTCGGCAGGGGATTGCAGTTCAGCGCCGTCGCGGTCTTGTTTTATTGCCGAGTAGATTTGGTCACGTCAAAATCCGGCTCCACAACATGCAATAATAGGTGAGTTGGTTTACAATGCTACCCTTGATTATGATTGGGGATTCGAAGTCTGAT